TACGCATTTCAGGCGGGACTCAATTATTTACAACTCCACGCTGGCATTTGTAAACCTATATTGTAGTCGGTCTACCTCCGCAACTATCAGACACAAATCAATTTGCGAATCATAAATGTGATATCAAAATTCAACCTGAGAACAGATAAATTAATATCATGATTTATGTGAAAATTGCGCAAAAATTAAACATGGCGGCTAAAGGGTACCCGTTAACCCGCTCGTTAAGAAAATTACCCGGTCGTTAGTTAAAGGTACACCCGTTTGACCTCTACTTGTGTGTGTAAAAAATAATAATAATGAAAAATAGGGATTCCCTGGCCAGAAAAAGCCACTTAACCCTCACACTACAGAAGAGATGAGCCACTGGGCTGCCGCAAGCTTATATTGAACGTGAGCGCGACATGATTATAGTGATCATGATGACGTATAACATAGTTCGCGTGAAATGATCGGACTGGGCCGTCTAAGGCCGCCCATCTGAAACATAGTATGATAGGAACAAATAACGCCGTGTGTCGGCTATGAAAGAGCGTTTGAAAGATGACCCATGGGGTCATGTAACAATCATAAAGGCTGGGTGTACCAGTACATTGCTATGGCAACTGCATGACCACTAAGTACTCGGTAGTATCCACAAGTATATTAAATGTATTGTCTGCGGCAGCCGATGGATGTGCACCATGCGAATTTCGTGCCCATCGGCCGAGCCCGTGTCTCCCCTCTGTCCGGTAGGTGTGGGAGGGTGGGAAACAAAATCGCGTGGCGAGCTCTCACAGCAAAACAGACAACTGGCAAAAAATTCACCAGCCAGCAGTAGATGAGCCGTCTACGGATGCATCCGCCAGACGAAGGGTGGCTCGTGCGGGATGTCGTACGCGAATGCGACTCGAATGCGGAACTCCGCAAGAGTGCGTGCTTGCGCAAGTCGGCTGCGGCGGCACGGCGGAGTGCGTAAGGTCACCTAAAGTCATCTAGCGGGAATATTCCCGTGCGGGGGGGGGCGCGGCCCGTGGCGTGCTGGTTAACTACGGTTTGCGCAACGCAAACCAACATTTCAATCAGCTGTGTGGTGGATACCAGGCTAAAAATTAGTGGCGGTCAATTATAGTGCGTTTCAAAAGTATAGACCTCTAGGCTTTTTCGAATAATTCAAATTTGGTTTGAGCTTTTTGAGAAATTTCTTTGAAATATTGCTCAGGCAGCTCACGCAATTTTTCTCATGTAAATTTCTAAGCGATTGGATAACAGACGCCCAATTTCGAAAAATTTATGCACAAAGTGATCACAGATTTTATGGGGTATAGATGCTGGCCGAACGGTTTTTTGAAACCAGAGGTCTGGACTTTTGAAACGCACTATAGTGGCGATCATTTCATCAGTCTTGCAAGCTGTTGAATGGTGTAATCCCAGCACAAGTTGCTATGTCCAACAATGTTACATAGCTGTTCGCTATAGTCGCTTTAGGGATGGGCATGTCTGAGGTGAGGTGTGTGTGTGTGTTTGTGTGTGTGTGTGTGTGTGTGTGTGAGTGTGTGCGTGTGTGTGCGTGTGTGTGTGTGTGTGTGTGTGTGTGTGTGATTTCCAATCGAGAGGTTGCGGGTTCGATTCCCGGCGATTATGGTCGCACACGTCTTTCTTCTCTTTCTCAGACTCCTCCCGACTTGTCTTTCATTCTCCTGGGTGGTTACGAACAGCCAGTGCATGCCGGAGTATGTGGTGTGATGTGTGTGCAGAAAAATATGAAAAAAGACCAAACGTGGGGAGTCACTGGCCAGAAAAAGTCACTTCATAGCTGTGTGGTGTAGACCAGGCTGAATAGTGGCGGTCAATTCTTCAGCCTTGCAAGCTGTTGAATGGTGCAATTCCAGCACAAGTTGCTATGGCTTCTGCTGTAGCATTGCCATCATCGCCTCCTGCGATGGGCGTCAAAAGCTCAAAGGTCAAAGGATAGTGTGTGTGTGTGTGTGTGTGTGTGTGTGTGTGTGTGTGTATCTGTCTGTGTGTGTGTCTGTGTGTGTTTGTGTGTGTGTGTCTGTGTGTGTCTGTGTGTATGCAGAAAACTACACAGACCATGACTGCAGTGAAGAGTGTATGAACCGTGCTACAATAACCAGTTTATCATCGTCCTGAAAGTACTTCAAAATGTCTAACAGTAAGTCAGACCAGCAGTCCACCATAATTGAATGTGCAGTATCTTAGCAACAAGCCTTTGGTTACATGTGATTACAAGAGCAAACAAGAAACAAAACTCCTATAGACAACAGACTTGCTATAGAAAGCAGATACCTTGTAGAGAACCATACCCATTATGGAATGTTTGTTGCTTACAACCTTTGAGCCGCTGTTTTCCTGCCGACTTGACTTGTCATTTGACTGATTGTGACTGCCGTCCGTATACAAGAAATCCATCAAATGGTTCACTATGCAAACCTGCAAGAAAACACATTCTCCCTGCTTAAAGTACAGTTTTACGGGGAGGTAGCTCCACATCAGTGGAGCTTGACTGTGCTAAGGAAGGGCGGGGGGGGGGGGGGGGGGGGTGCAGGAGGCTACATGATGTTGATGTGTCCAAACATGACCCAGTTGTCATGGTGATTGGTTGTCCAGGATACTGTCTCAAAATTACTAATGATTATCTGTCAATGCTGTTTCGATTAGTTAGACAATCCTGTATATTTGGTTTTTTGTCTTTTCGTATTCTTTAGATGAACCATTTGATGATCCCAAGTTCATTGCTAATATCTTACCCTGGATCTGTGAAATTGATACAACGAGGTTTCGACATGCTGTGCAAGGCAAATGCGTGTTCATAAGTATAACGGAAATTGAGACATTGCTGCGTCTGGAGAAATACGAAGGAAAGGAAAAGCATAATTCTCACATCATCAGTCTTATTCGTCCTGGAGGCACAGGTGCTTATAAACTACTCTGCAATGCAATCCATGACTTGGGTCCACTGTACAATGAAAAGTACCAAGAAATGCTTCTCCTGTTGCCCGTTGACCAGCGACCAACGGCCAAGACATCCTCTTCCGAGACAGGTAATTGATATGTGTAGAATGAGGAGGGTTTCAGGGTTGTGGATGTATCATTAACCGTCTGAACATGCCCAATTTATACATTGCCATCAACCAAACTTCTGCTGCCAAGGGAAATTTTAGTTTTGTACCTTACCAGCAGATTTAAACTCATTACACCAAAGAGTCGTCTAGCTAAAAGTGAACTATACCCCTCTTGCGGCCGCGATACACAACAGAAGGCCAGCTGTTTAGTTGGAGAGAATACTTTGTTCTTTCTCTAAGGAGACGTCTGGGCAACTGACGTATGACAACTGACAAGTGAATATTATCCAGGAAAGTGGTGCACTCATCAGGGCAAAAGTGGTGCGCTCATCAGCACAAAAGGTGCACGGGTCAGCGATACAATGCTGTCCCAATGGGGACCAGTGCGAGAAGTGTGTGCAGAGCGGGTGACTGTAATGCATGTGAGTACACCTGTTGCAAAAGCGCAGCAGCGTGGACCACGATTCAGCAGCATGTACAACACTATCCCCCACCGAAAAAAAGACATCCTCTCCTGAGGATGAAAGCAAATAAATTGAAGCCCAAAAATGTGAAGAAGACAGGAATGGAATAATAGCAAGGAAGAACACGTCTACAGAAACAGGAGCGATTAATCAGTGAAGACACCAGATACCACACAAACAAATCGGTTACCAATACGCAAAAAGACATTAACGAAAAAATCACACAGCGCTACCCTGAATAGCCCCAGGTATCCACCCTGACAACCACAGGGATAACACCATAATAACACCGGAAAAACATATAGTACATCCGCTTGCAAAACCGTAAAAAAAAACCGTCAGACACCTACTGTGACGCACATGTGACCACCATCAACACCCAGAAACCACAACACCCACAAAGGCAAACCGATACAAATAAGCGCATGATCCCTCCACCCCTCCAGCCCACCAGGCAGACCGTGGTTCACCATGATCGGACGCCCACCCAGACCCACATGCCGAAACACAATACAAAATAAGACGCTCACGATAAAATTTCAACCTTGATCTATAACGAGAATCCTAGATGCATTTCGCACCTCCCACCAAACCAGAATCTAGCAGCTTTGCTACATTTTCGGCAGTGCATGCCTGAGCACGACAACGCTCCACACAGAACATGGAGAACAGTTGCATTTGCCGAAAAGCCCTGCCCTGTGTATTGTGTGTTGACTTTGTGAAATGCAGCTGTGGAGTGTCAACCAGTCATACTGACAAACTTTAAAACCATTATCCAATGAAAAGCAACACGAAGCGGCAATCCACATTTTTCATGTGTTTTGTTTCTTTTCTACTTCACCTCCTGTGCAGTTCTTAAGCAAGATTCACAGAAGCTTTTTTTGCGATGCGATACGCGATGCGACTCGATCTGCGATGGACGCGTGCGATGCGAACTCGCGAAATACCAGTCACAAAAGAAGTCAGCGATGCGACGATGCCTTGCTGATTTGGCGCGAAGTTCAATGCAGTTGGGTACGTCACCATGGTAATCGCGCAGTTTGGTACAACTTGTACAAATTTATAGGGAACTCTTGAACCTTTGTACAACTTTGCTGTAGAAAAGGTCAAAATCGTATGCCAAATCGCTTGTCGCATCGCCAAAGTTGACCCAAGCTCAACTTCTGCAATGACCCAGTTGCGGCAGTTGAATGGGCTGCTAGATGGCTGCGATTTGGGGATTTCCCGGTTTCGCAGCTGTCGCATTGCGTGTCGCATTGCAAAAAAGCTTCTGTGAATCCCGCTTTAACCATGTGTGTATGTATATGTACGGTACAATCAGTAGTTCACACACACACACACACACACACACACACACACACACACATAAACACACACACACGCACGCACACACACACACACACACACACACATACACACGCACACACACACACACACACACACACACACACACACACACACTATCTACATTTAGGAATATACTTGTCAACATATCATCACAGTACATCTGTACAATGATATACCATCAAACAATTTGTTCTTTTTCCTCTTTCCTGTCCTGTGTTTCACCACAGTTGATGTTGCTACTATGCGTGCAGGCAGCAACACAGCTAACGATGGCACAGTGACATGTAATATACTGTTAGTGAATGATGATGGAGCAGACAATGGTGGGCACATTCAACGTCTTAAACAACATCTACACAGAGTGAATACACATCTGTGCAAGACCACCGCTGATCATTCAGATCTAACTTGCTTGTCCGGCGATGTCAAGGATTGCTTCGTGCCCATGCAGGCTCTGACGGAGAAAGATGCTCTGCAGCTGACGTATCGTGCGCAACAAGCTGCAACTCGCCGTGTCACTGGAAGACAGCCAATATCTGACCGTACACCAGGCGTTGCTATCCCAGGAGCTAAACAAGATAAGAGTGACAAAGTGGAAGGAGGAAGGCAGTTTGTTCTGTCCAGCGCTAAGCAGCTCTTGTCTGATCCCCATTATTATGAAGGTGTAACTAGCGCTGGCAAAAGTGGTGTTGGTGTTGGTGGTGGTGATGACACAGTTGACGAAGACATTCTGGAAAGTTGCATTGTAATTGGCAACGCTGGGCAAGGAAAGACAACTCTATGCAAACGAGTCATCGCTGACATCATGGAGACAACAACTGGGAATCTGGCAAAGATTGAATTCATTTTCTACGTGCCGTGCCGTGATTTTCAACGTACACAGTCAACTGATTGGTGTGTATTTCTTGGTTTGGACCAGTTGCGCATCAGTACACAGGAGCAATCTATACTGCTCAACTACCTCTCTGAGCATTCCGACCAGGTATTGATCGTTATTGATGGGATTGACGAACTTGGCAGTGATGGATTTGGTACCGGATCAGCAGCCCAAGCTGTAATATTGAGGAGCAGCAGCAGTAACCATTCACTACTACCTGATGCTATTGTAGTCGCAACTAGCCGACCGTGTGATGAAGCGTATCAGAACATACCGCATTTCCGCTTACGTTTCCGACTTCTCGGCTTCTCAGCAGACCAGCTCTTTGCGTACTGCTCACGACAGCTCGGAGAGGAGGTTGCCAAGAAGTGTATGGAAGAGCTTTCCCAACGGAACAACTGTCTGCTGAAGGAAGCCATTCGACAATCTCCACTCCTATGTGCTCTGCTCGTTCAGCAATATTCCATCAACAACTCTCTACCCTCCAGTGTGACACTTTTCTACGACCACTACTTACGCTCCTCAGTCGCAAAGCTGGAAAAGCGACGAGGAAAGAAGTTTGGTCAAGTACGGCTTGCACATGACGTCATCAGTCACTGCAGTGGTGGCCGGCACTTCAGTTGTGGTGATCTTGTCAGTATCCCCGTGGTAATAGAACATCATTTGGAGCGCTATGTGAAGGAGACAAGCAACAATGATGAGGAGTGTGATCACCATGCTGTGGAGCTAGTCAAGGCATTGCACAATCTCTACACGATGTGTCTTGCAACATATCAAAGGGGCATGGCTACTTTTACATCCACGCTGTCAACCCTCCACCAGTCCATTTGTCAAGATCTCGGCTTACTGCTCAACCCTGGTATGCATCCGTCGGCGGTCGGTTCCACGCAGACTGTGTCCTTGACTCACTTGACACTGCAGGAGTGGTGTGCATCGAGATGCATCATTTCTTCTGACTCGTGCGTAGACATCATCCGCAGCTGCATCAAGACTGTCGGCACAGACTTGAACACACTTGTCTTCTGGCAATTTGTCTTTGGAGCACTCAAGCCAGACCTTCTACATTCATCTTTGTTGGCTCTACAGCCTGAAAATAGCATCAGTGATCATACTGTCAAGAGCAAGAAGAAGATGCTTCTGTTCATGATGAGATGTTTGATGGAAAACCGCATTTCACTCCAACATATCCACACTCAGGGATATCCCAATCAGGACACTGACATAGTCACCCATCGCTGCTATGCTATGTCAGCCAACCTCCTGGCCAGTGATGGAATTGATGTTAGTGGAATCCACCTTCAAGTTGTTGATGTGATGGCTTTACATACGGTTTTGGAGCTTGTAGACCATGTAAAGTCTCTGGATCTCAGCAATTGTAATCTGTCAAGTGACAGTGTCATTTTGCTGTCTGATCAACTGGATAAATGCGTCAAGGTGACTTTGCTTGGTGCCAATCTCACTGCAGTACCATTGGCAAGCATATCAAGCACACTGTCTAGATCAACACGGCGTACCCTCCAGGTTCTTGACATTAGCAACACAAGGTTGACCAGTGGATTTGCAGATGGAGCAGCACTTGCTGGATGTGTAAAACACCCAAGTCTAACGTACCTGAATGCACACTATACAGCACTTGGCAAAGATGGTCTGGCAGCATTTGTGAGCAACTTGGCTCCGTGTAACAATCTCACAGATCTATCACTGGGATGGTGCAGTCTGGATAGTGGATGTGGATCTGACCTGGCAACACTGGTCACACAGTTACCACGCCTTGTCAGTCTTTGGCTGAGTAACAACTCACTCTCCAACAGTGACGTGTCATGTGTACTATCCAGTCTCCATTCTCATGATACCATACAGCATCTCTTCTTTGACAACAACAGACTGACTGATGAGCTAGCCGCTAGTGTGGTTGACTTTCTGCAAGCTCGTCGCGGTCGTGAGCACACTGGGAGTGTCAGCACAACACTACCACCATGCAGGGTTTATCTGAACGGCACTGGTGTAACAATCCGTCTTCTACAGGAAGTGGCTACGTCTAATCAATGTGGTGGTGACGTAATAGACATTGGCAGCCGCTATGCTACTGGTACTTTAGTAGAGACTGAGTCGATTGATCATCTGGTCAGTGTACCTGGTGGCGGTTACCATGGTTACCTACAAGGCAAGGTTGATGACTCCATGATGTCATCACTTGGTCAGAACCTTGCAACCAACACTTACCTAGACCTACTGGACATAGCACTGTGTAACATCACCGATGCTGGAGCAACTGCTCTGGCAACATCTGGCCTTGCTCACAACACAGTGCTGAAATACCTTGCTCTGGACAGGAATAGGATACAGCTATCTGGTGTTGTAAGTGTACTACAAGCAGTGACATCACCACAGTCACATGTCAGTGCATTGGGTCTGGAGGACAACCCAGTGTTTCATGATATACAGCCCAGTCATGCTGATTTCAAACTGCTATGCCAGCTTCTCTCTGGATTCCACCGGCTGCGCTTCATTTCATTTGCCAAGACGGGCATGAGTGATGAAGTTGGTGCAAGTATCCTACACTCTCTCCATCACCATGCGCGTATTGAATGGATGGGTATGGCAAAGAATGAGATTGGTGATGCCACAGTGCATGCCCTGGTGGATATGATGAGGAAGAACACAAGCTTGAGATTGATCAGCCTATCTAACTGCAAGATCACCGATGATAGCATTCAAGCCATGCTGCAGTCACCAGGCATCATGAGGATGGAGGGTGTACACTTGTACGGGAACCCATGCTCTATGGACAAACTTCGACGGCCATTGTACAATTCCATGCTATGGTATAACAACTCTTCTGTCCTGGAGTTCATCTCGGATTGATTGCAGGAAGACGTTGCACAACATCAGCATATTCCCAGGTAAGTGTTGTACAGTAGTAGATGTACAGTGTTGATCAGTGTATGAAATACGGGTACACCTGTTTGTTGATGAATAATGATGATCAGACAGACACTACACTAGTCACCCTAGCCAGACTCTCCATCTACAGATGTGTGTACTTGACCAGTACCATAAAGTCTGCAGCAAACTTTCCGGTCCACCTCAGCTGGTCTGTATCAGGGAGCAGTAAAGCGCGATGCACAATATCAATTCTGCGATGCGATGAGCGTCGAGCGAAAGTCTTTTTTCGAATCGCACGAAGAGTCTTCGATGCACAATGCACGGCACATCGTTGCAGGGCATGCACAGTCCAAAACTGTACGCGAGCTGTCATGTGCGCCCGCCGTGTAGAAAGTGATGCGCATCGCTCGTCGCTTGTCGCAGAAGTTGAACTAGGCTCAACTTTCCGCGATGAGACCTGCGACGGAGGTGCGATTCAAAATTTTGCAGAAAAACATTTCGATCGCATTGCTCGTCGCTCATCGCGTCGCATAAGTGATATTGTGCATCGCGCTTTAGCCAGTTAGTTGTAGAATGCCAGTAGCGTCGGTCAGTGTCGTGCAATGTTATCGCATGAGCTGATTGTTCAGTAACATGTAGGCTTTGCACAGCAAAGTCTAGTTAGCCCCGGCACACGCGCAATATTGGCATATTGCTGTGAGTGTGTGTCACGTGACTGTCCCTGCACGATTTACAAGCTGGCAAAATTGTACAGACATCCTGTTAGTGTTATGGTGTCATATCGGAAGACGTGTCTTCTTCAAGCTCTTGAATTGTCGGGATGTGAAGGAGCGTTCCTTTGCAATTGATTTCTTCATGTGTCAAAATGCAGTTTTAGCTTTTAACCCAGGCCCACGGGTACACACGCAAGTCAGGTCACACGCACACACACACACACACACGCACACACACGCACACACGCACACACGCACGCACGCACGCACACACACACACACACGCACACACACACACACACACACGCACGCACGCACACACACACACACACACACACGCACATTCATGTGCATAAACATAATAGCAGACACTCCGTCTGTGCGTACAACGGTGTACTCGCGCACACACTCACAAGCAATTAACACAATGTGTTAATTGCTATCATAGGTTTGGGGGTTGCCATGACTTCATTTTGATTAAATGTATTAAATATAATAGTATGTGATGATAGACCAGTTCCAAGACAGCGACGATAATATTTGCGTCATATCATCACATTCGGTCGTCAGTAATTCGCACCGCCCACCGGCGGCAGACGCACGAATGGCCCACCATCATATTGCATGTGTGTGGTGTGACGCCTCATGCCAGGCAGTTGTGTGAGTTCTTGGTCACCGAGGGCTAGCCTGCAGCTGCCAACCGTGGGCCATTGACATGAGCGGCTGGGGAGGTCAACAGCCAAGCCACTGAGGGCTAAGTAATCCTGCCTGCTGTGGACCGTTAGCATACTGCCCACCGAGGGCGCACAAATGGCAGACATGGCCAGAAACATGCCCGCTGCGGGCGTATGAACGGCTGCCCAGGCCTACAGCTTACCCATCGAGGGTTAAAGCATACTGCCCAACTGAGGGCGCGAGAGAAGAGTATAGCCCGACCGAGGGCGCATGATTATAGCCCGATCGAGAGCGCATAATTATAGCCCGACCGAGAGTGCATGATTATAGCCCGACCGAGAGCGCATGATTATAGCCCGACCGAGAGCACATGATTATAGCCCGACCGAGAGCGCATGATTATAGCCCGACCGAGAGCGCATGATTATAGCCCGATCGAGAGCGCATGATTATAGCCCGACCGAGAGAGCATGATTATAGCCCGACCGAGAGCGCATGATTAAAGCCCGACCGAGGGCGCATGATTATAGCCCGACCGAGAGCGCATGATTATAGCCCAACCGAGGGCGCATGATTATAGCCCGACCGAGAGCGCATGATTATAGCCCGACGAGGGCGCATGATTATAGCCCGACCGAAGGCGCATGATCATAGCACCACCGAGGGCGCTTGATTATAGCCCAACCGAGGGCGCACGAACGGCCGCCAAGGCCTGAAACCTGCCTACTGAATGCTAAAGCATACCACCCAACCGAGGGTGCACAACGGCCGTCAAGGTCAATAGCCTGTCCCCGAGGGCTACAGCAAACTTCCCGCCAAGGGATAAAGCGTAGTACCCACCGAGGGCCAAAGAATGCTGCCCACCGTGGGCCGATTATATACTGCCCACCGAGGGCTCAATCATACTGCCTATTGAGCAAACGAACAGCCACCGAGGCCGACAACCTGCCCACCAAGGGCAAAAGCATACTGCCCGCTAGCGCCGACCTCATACTGCCCAGCGAGGGCAAACAAACGACCACCGACGCCAAGAACTCACACAACTGCCTGGCATGAGGCGTCACACCACACACATACAATAATTATGATGGTGGGCGGTTCATGCGTCTGCCCCCGGTGGGCAGTGTGAATTACTGACGACCGAATGTGATGATATGACGCAAATAATTTCGTTTGCTTTCTTGGAACTGGTCTATCATCACTTTGCTGAAGTAATCAAAATGAAGTCATGGCAACTCCCAACTTATGTGCTGATCGCTTGTGAGTGAGTGCGCGAGTACGTCGTTGTACGCACAGACGGGGCGTTGGAGTGTCTGCAATTATGTTTGTGTACATGAATGTGTGTGTGTGCGTGCGCATGCGCTTGCGCATGTGCATATGCAGAGGTATGCCCGGAGACCTGGGTGTGTACACGTGGGCCTGGGTTAATGGTGGTGTTAGTGGACATCATAGCGTAACTTGTAGTTCCTTGGTCCTTTTTCTTTTCTATTTTCTATATGCAGGTCATTTCTTTGTGTGTTGAATTTGTATACGAGAATGACAATACTGCCTACGAACTGCCTGTCTTTCCAGAAGGCCAACATTTTTGTGCGATTTGTGTGCATGTGTGTGTGTGTGTGTGTGCGTACGTGTGGTTGTGCATGCATCTTTGTGTGCATCGTGTGTGTGTGTGTGCGTGTGTTTGGGTGTGTGTGTGTTTGTGTGTGCGTGTGTGTGTGGGTGTGTGTGTGTGCGTGCGTGCGCGCGCGCGTGCGTGCGTGCGTGCGCGCGCGTGCGCGTGCGTGTGTGTGTGCATGCATGTATAATGTCTTCTTTAAAAACTTTCTATCACTTCCAGCCGTTGCTGAAGGAGTAGGCTAGGACAGAGCTGATGTATTGTTCAAGTTTGATCTACCAACCAACAGTCAATGATTGCACAACTTCCAGAATGATGTGTGTGTGTGTGTGTGTGTGTGTGTGTGTGTGTGTGTGTGTGTGTGTGTGTGTGTGTGTGTGTGCTGGCACACCGAAGCAATTGCCGTTCGGCGAGCTGCCTGCCCCCCGTCCTCGTCGCGGCCCGAAGAAGAGGTGGCGAGATGTGGTGTCGACTGACCTGGCGGACCTCGGCGTGACCACCTGGCTTGAGAGTTGCCAAGATCGTCCCGGCTGGAGACAAGTTGCGAGTAGCACCCCACCGCCACGGCCCGCTCCTGATCCTCTTCTATGTGTCTGTGGACGCCCATTTCGTCGACCAGGAGATCTGAAACGACATGCCAAGTTCTGCGCTCGTGTTCTCACTTGAACTTTCCGACATTCGCTATCATTGCGTACGCAATGGGCAAGATCAAGGTCAAGGTCAAGGTGTGTGTGTGTGTGTGAGTGTGTGTGTGTGTGTGTGTGTGTGTGTGTGTGTGTGTGTATGTGTGTGTAGGCGTGCAGCACACATCACACTGAGTATTGAATTCACTTGAGTAGAATGTAATTTGTGTGTGTACTGTTTTCAATGATTGTATTGTGTAGCATGCATGACTCTGCTGAAGAAACAGTTCAATCATCAGTTTTCTGGTTATTCTAGGATTTACGCATATAATTCCTCACAGTCAAGTATACACACAAGAATACATGATGTTACTGGTAGTGCAACTGCTGATGTTGCAGACAATACTTCTGTTCATACTGTTGCACACTACGTAGCTCTCCGTCACGATGCTTCTCTTGGTTTTGTTGATGTGGTTATTGTCACCAGCAAGTGCTGAGTACACTCTACAATAGTCTTATAGATATGTATATACAGTATAATTATACTGATGGTGTTCACTGCTCTTCTGCTTCTGCTCTGATAGTCGATTGCTGATGTACGTGTTTGTCAATGTTGACACCAATGCCAGCATTTAATGAAATACATTCATTGTTGCTGGTGGTGCGCTTGATCAGCTGTAGCCGGCACTCTCCTGCTCCTAATGACTGTGACGAAGAGTTTATCTAGTCTTGGTGTGATGAGACGCGCGGAAACTCCATTGCTCTCAGTCCACACTGCACCGCGGCCATGCTGCGTCACCTCATCACACATGATACAGCTGTAATATAATATTCATGACGTGCATCTTGCCTTGAACCTGTTGCAAAAGTCACATACATAGAACACAATGACATCCACTTGGATTATTGTTTCCACAGGCCAATCACTACAGAACACAGAAATGAAACCGTCAGCTCAACCAAGAAAACACAAAAACCACCAAGGAACTACAAGTTACATTATAAAGTCCACTAACACCATCAGTTACAGGGGCATCTGAAGGTATTATAGTGTGGTAAGGTCAGCCATTTGAAGTACAAGTTACTCGTGGGGGAGGGGTGGCTGAGTCGAATTTTTGGAAATTTGGAGTCCAAATCAGTCTATTTTATTGGTTCACGGGGTGGTACCTGGGGGCAAAAAGTGATACGGTTAATAGCGTAGTGACCGTAGCGTGTCCAACACCCCTGTGTCACATGACATTCAACTCATGCGATAACATTGCACGGCACTGACCTACGGTACTGACCTTCTACAACTAACTGGCTATCAGCTCCAGCAAGTCTTGCATGCGCACTCCAACAGCATTCCAACTTGGAATGTTCTTAGTTATATGATAACATAGGAGGAGAAGGTGAGCACAACCAAGACAAGCACAAGCTGAAAGTCTTAGCTGTGAAGGCCGATGTACATGCATGTCCATGACGATACTGGCAAGACCATTGGACAGTACGGTCAAACCAAGATTCAAGGACGCATAGCAACATAGCACACAACTTGTGTAGCTCTAAAGATTCAATATGCATGAGCTGATTGTCAAGTAACTGGTGGTGTTAGTGGACATTATAGCGTAACTTGTTGTTCCTACAAAATAACCAACAAGGCGTTGCAACCCATACCCGCTGAGTAATGACACAAATTTCACTAACAAGGCTAAGAGAAATTTATATTTTACATTACAAGTCATACAGTACCGTATTTTCCGGAGTATAAGCCGCACCCCCTTCCCCCTCCCCCCCCCCACATTTTGCCATGAAATACAGACATCTATTTCATGATCACTGCTATTTTGGTCATTGGAATATAAGCCATTCTTTTGGGTGAATTTTGAGTGTTCAAAGTGCGGCGTTGTCTCCAGAAAATACGGTACGTAATTCCAATACCATCGACATGACGGAAACCTCGTGCCCATGCACGGTCACTTTGTCTAGCCAACTCAACCACACACAAGAGTGTGTGCATGACTATACACACACACATACTTGAACCTTGAACTTGCCCATCGCCAGAGGCAATGATAGAGAAAGGACTAATATGGCGGCAACCGGCAGAAAGGTTCGTGGCACATGATACACACACACACATACACACACACACACACACACACACACACACACACACACACTAACACACACACACACACACACACACACACCCACATACTGTACAAACACACACATGCTGTACACACACACCTTGACCTTGCCCATTGCGTAGCAATGACAGCGCATTGTCATTTCTCCAGTCCACGACTGATGGCGTTTCAGGTCGCCGCTTCGACGGAACATGCGGCCGCAGGCGCAACCGTAGCCAGCAGCAGAGGGTGCCTTGGGTGGTCGACGGGCAATGGTACGCCACTCCGGACTGTTCTGGGCTGCACCGTACCATCAACATGTTGGTAGCGGTGGCTCAACCGACGAAACGTCATCCATAATGACGTCCTCCACCTCGTGCGTGGACCATGCGCGGGACGCGGGGCAGGCAGTTCACCGAAGAGAACACACTTGGGCAACCGGTGATCTTCCATCCATGTCACGTGTCCAAGCCAGCGCAAACGCCGTCCCTGTACGATGTGACCAATGTCCTCAGGCGCTCCAAGGGTCTTTGCAAGGGCTGAGGACGCGCACACACACACACGCACACACACACACACACGCACACACGCACACACGCACACACACACACACACACACACACACACCTGTCCTGTCCTGTCGACCCACTGCCTTAAAGGTTACGTGGTCCCATTGCGGGAGGAGGGAGAGGAGCAAACACGCCGGTGCCGGGTCAGGTCCCTGGACTGCCGAAATCTCCGAGAGCAGTGCTGACACATTAGTGGAAACTTGGCACGTTCATCCGTTGTTGGGCGGTTCTGGCGAGGTCTACAAGGAGCGGAAGCGGGCCGGCTAGCGATTGAGGCAGGCTGACACCTGCGCACAGCGAGTCCACCCCTGCTACGGTACCATCTCCCACAATCTGCGCATTGACATGCACCACGCTGCTGATGGACTGGCTTGCGACGCTCCGCTGTGCACTTGTGGCGCTTAAGATCACTTGGTCTAGAGCAGACCTTTCCACAGGTGGGGCACTCAACGGGGGCTGCTGCGGCCAGTTCCTTATCCTGGTCTTGGTATCTACATCGCCATTCCACGCGAGATGTGTTAGCGGTCTGGTACCAGTTCACAATTTGGTTATGTCGAAGATCGACCGACACGCAGTCCTTCCACCGTTTCCTTGGGCCATGGGCAGGTCTGTCAGGTGGGAGCTGGCCAAACAGAAGGCACTTCGGCATGCGGGTGTCATCCATGCGCGCCAGGTGACCTAGCCACTCTAGCCGACGATGCCGAAGCTTACAGGTGATGGTCTCCGGATCGCCCCACATACGCAATAGTTCAGCATTGCTGATGTGGGCATCCCACATCTGCTGTCTCGACACACCAAGGATAGAGCGGACGCAACGCATATGGAAGGAGGACAGGCGTTGCAAGTCGCCCTGAAGGGGGACCCAGCACTCAGAACCGTATAGTAGTAAGGACATGACACACGCGTTGAAAACACACCTCTTCAAGAACACAGGAAGCTGACCATTGGCAAATACAGGGCGCTGTAAAGCACCACAGGCCTTGGAGGCACTCGCAATGCGGGCGTTGACGTCCACTGCCGAACGGCTGTTGCTGGCGATAATGGAACCCAGATACCTGAATTCAGCGACATTCTTGATCTCAACATCCGCCAGCGTGAGTGGGACACAGTCTGCATCTTGGATGTTGCTGCCGCACACCATGAATTGGGTCTTGGTAGTGCTGACAGTTAGTCCAAAATCAGCAGCAGTCGCCTGGAATACAGAGAGTGCGAGCTGAGCACCGTCACGTGTAGTCGCTAACAAGGCTGAATCGTCGGCGAACTGACATTCCCCAAACTTGGTCGATATCTTTCGCGTCCTCGGCTTGCCGAACAAATTTCCGTCAATGCAATAGCGAACCTCCATGCCGACACCAGGAACTGCCGACACTCTCCGGGACCAAACAGTGAAAACGGCCCACATGAATAGATTGAAAAGCACGGGGGCCATAGAGCACCCCTGCCTCAAGCCGTTGTTGATGTTGATGGGCTGAGTGTGTCCCTGGGATGTGCGGATTGTGGCAGACATAGATGTGTGAAAGGACTTGATGACAGCGAGGAGGGTGTCCGGTACCCCAGCACAAGCAAGTACACGCCACATACACTCTCTGGGCACTGAATCGTAGGCCTTGCGCAAGTCGATGAAAACCATGTAGCCTTTCGTGTCATGCTCGAGAGATTTCTCCACAAGTTGGCGTACAGAGAAGATCATGTCCGAGAACGAGCGCCCGCGCCTAAAACCACACTGCGAGTCTGGCAGCAGGGTCTCCGCTAGCCGCTGGAGACGTGTCTGTATGATGGCAGCCAGCACCTTCCCCACAACATCCAACAGAGCAATGCCACGCCAATTGTCACACAGTTGCAGGTCGCCTTTTTTGGGGATGGGTACGAGAGTAGCATCAACCCATTCCTGCGGTACCTGTCCGGAGTTCCACACAGCACCAAACAGATCTAGCATCCTGTCCCGTAGAGGAAAACCACCGTACTTAACCAGCTCCGGCAAAATCCTGGATGCGCCAGCAGCCTTGCCAGGCTTCAGCTTATCGATTGCACGTCGCACTTCAGCCGACGTTGGGGGGTTAGCCAAATCATCAGCAACCGGGCAATGTGGGAGAGAGCCCAGTACCGCAGGGACGAACGTAGATGGGATATTCAACACTGTGTCGAAATGACGACTCCACCGACCATCCTGTTCCTCCTGAGACTCACACAAGTTACCATTTTCATCCTTGATAGCAGACACCCGGGTGCCCACCCGTCCACGACAGCACGCCTGCAAATCTCCTATACACTTCCAAACTGCCGCGCCGTCAAATCGGGACTCCGAGGCCTGCTGTGCCTTGTTCTTGATCCAATCCACCTTCGCTTGACGTACTGCAGAACGGGCAGCAGCGCGGGCAGCCTTGAACTTGGAATAGTGATCGTCACGGAGCCTACCATGTTGAACCCACACATTGTACATTGCATTGCGTTCGTCCAAGAGCGGTTGAATGACATCCTGGCTATCAGCAAACCAGTCTGACTGGCGTCTCTTTCGTGGACCCAAGTTATCCATAGCTGATGTAACAACAGCATCACGTACCGCAGTCCATTGGCTCTCAACACTGCCCTCCTCGGGCCACCGATCAGCGAGCTCTTTAGCAACATCCGACTGGTAGTGTTCGGCTGCAGACTGCTTTGACGGAAGATCAGGATTTTCGCCACGCATCTTGGCAACATCAAATTGGAAAACCGGAGGGCTATGACGGGCAGCACGGCGGCGCACGGCCGGAGTATCCAGGTCGAAAGACATGGTAAGTAGCTCATGATCGCTCCCACACTCCGCATTCCGTACTGTGGTGACATCCATGCAGTGCCGCTGACCGGCTTGGCGAACAATGATGTAGTCAATACAGTGCCAAGCCATTGACCCAGGGTGTTGCCACGTCCGCTTGAAGATGTCCCTTTTCGCAAACCAGGTGTTACAAAGACTAGCGTTATTCATAGACAGAAAGGACAGCAGCTCGGTTCCAGCACTGTTCAGTTGGCCCAAACCATGAGGCCCACGTACTCTGCCCCACTCATCCTCAGCCATACCAGAGCCAACGCGCGCGTTGAAGTCACCAAGCAGGATATATTGATGTTTTTTTTTTTGTTTTTTTTTTTTTGTTCCCTCTGGGGACGGTTTGAATTTTCCGAGCTCCCCTGGTTGTCGAAAGTAGTTAGTTCCACGAGTCTTCTGGGGCGGCTCTGGTCCACCAGGGCCGTCCCAGGACATGTAATTCTCAGCGCAAGAGATTCAGGGCCAGCGCAGCAAGAAGACGGGGTGTCGAACGATGGCACCACTTCTTGTTGCGCCTGAATCTCCCACTCGCGGCGGATTGGCAAACCCCCGAGTGGACGGAGACCAGCGCTTCAAAAAATCTGCCCAAGCACGGAGAGAGAGGAGGGGACGCTGCCTGATCCGCGTCGGATCCTGGAATGTTCGTTCTCTTGTTGAGAGCGAAGGGAACATCGAAACGGCAAGTATCCAAAACAAGGTTGTTGAAGACAGGAAACTGGACCTCGTCATCTCCGAACTACATCGACTCAGCTTGGACGTCGCTGGTGTACAGGAAACACACTGGTTTGGTGAACATCTATACGAGGACGACAAAGGAAATACAGTGATAACGTCTGGGCGAGCTGTGGACGCAAATACCCATCGTCGTCGAGGAGAAGGAGTTGCACTTATACTCAATAAATTTTCGTCCGGCGCGTGGAAAGCTGGTGGTAGTTTTTGGAGGTCGTTTGGTCCGCGTGTGGTACTAGCACGTCTCAAACTTCCACTCAGCCATCCCAGGGGAGTGAACAATCCTAAATCGATTTATGTCATCAGTGCCTACGCCCCAACGTTTGCCAGTCCAAGAACAGCAAAGGATGAGTTTTTTCACCAATTGCAGTGTGCCATCAATGTATGCAAGGACCATCAATATATCCTGCTTGGTGACTTCAACACACACACACACACACACACACACACACACACACACACACACACACACACACACACACACAAACACACAAACACACACATACACCGTCAGGCGAAATAGCACGTCATAGTACATTCGAGATCAGCGGGAAGAAGATGACGACGTCCACTAATTTAGTATCTGTGCACACGAATCTGCTGTGTGTGTTACTCTGTGTGTCAGCTATGGCATCATCGCCTGTGGTTCCATGCCTAGCATCTACGTCTGAACCATCCTGCAAAGTTTGAATGACGTAGGTTGAAACATAGTTTTTGAAAGTCTCTTCATATCTTCCACCATTGAAATTTCGAATTTCTTCGAATTTTTTGCTGAGAGGGGTGGCTTGCAACCTCGATATGGCTTGTTCCAGGCATGCTTTGGAGCCATCGCCTGTTGAAACAGTGGCGGGAAGCTGCCCTGCAACTGTTCCAGCAGGAAATTAATCGATCTGAGAAAGCGCGAGTCCGCGAATCTCGGTTGAATATTGAGTATTTCAAGCCTTTTCACGACGAAGATGGAGTTCTTTTTGGAGATGGACGTCGCGGCAAAGGACATGGTGTCCAACTTCTGGCGTCTGGTGAAGCCAGGGATCATTTGTCCAGTCAGGTCGGCAGCCTAACCGTCGGTAAGCTTGTGTTTGGATCCCGTTCTGCTCGATGTGGTAGATCACAAACAATTTGATATCGCACAATTAGTACAAATTGATCTCAGCATCGTGCGTACGGTATTTTATATTCAGAAAGTCCCAAAGTGTCTCTGTGTGGCCGTCCTATGCCACGAGAAACTCCAATCAGGCTCCTATGTCCTCTGCCTTCATGATTGAATGTCCACTTCGTTTGAACAACGAACACAACATTCGAGGACGGCTTTGCAATGAAAAATACAGCTATACTGGAGGTGAAAAAAAGAAGAAAAAACGTGCTCAGGATGAGACTCGAGTACACGCATACTCTCCCAGCAAGTGAAACGCAAATTTTTGTGAAAAATGCGTGACGCCGACTGACCAGTAATTTCGCCTGACGCACACTTGTGCTTGTTGCTCACTTCCAAAACTGGTCACTTGGGTCTCCCCGGGAGAGGGGAGAGAGACTCAAAAGGAATCTTGGAAAGATGACTCAATTGGCTATTGAACCGCCCAATGGCTAAAACCCCCTGAAATCCCCAAAACTCTGGGTGGACTTGAAAACTATCCCACTTATGGGCTCACCACACCTCAGTAAGTGGGCGAGGACAAGTTGCAGAAAAAGGATTGACGGAATCAGGGTATCCGTCCCGGGATCAAACTGCAGTTTCCCCTGCCCCCAGTGAAGGTAATACTTGCTACTAGTGTGGGTGGCTAAATCAGAGTGGATCTGATATAAGCTTTACTAGCACCATCGATTACACAAGAGTTAATCTAGCCAGAAGCAGTCCATGGTTAACAGGTATGTATACTTCAAATAGAAAGTATAGGAACCCTGGAACCAACAAAGGTGGCAGGTACAACATTACACCTTCAAGCAGCCGAGCCCATTGGCAACAGAACCAACACAATCAGGCATAAGTGTACCCACCAACCGGACTAGCTGGCACGCACACACACACAACACACACACATACACCAGGTAATCGGAGCGTGTGGAGTGCCACTAACTGGAAAAATGAAGACGGAATACTAATCAGGATGTTACATGTATGTTTGAGTGAAACTTTCATTTTATCTTGTTTCAAATTTCTTCCACACAATCAACTTACATGACATGTACTTACTTCCCATCATCATCTCAGTTTTCTTTTCTATCCATCCATCTGCACTCCATATCACTCCGTATCACTGTTGTAGAAATATTCCTCCATGTGTGTACTAGTCTCCACAGCCATGTGATGACACTTTGGGACACGTCCCTAACAACATAGCACTCTCCAGTTGGTAGTTTTACATTCTCTCATGCTCTCATGCTGATCTCATGCTCATCTCTCATGCTGATCTCATGCTCATCTCATCTCTCATGCTGATCTCTCATCTCTCAAGATCTCTCATGCTGGCTTGCACCTTGTCCTTGGCTCTGTTGACTTTGGATGCGATATCGCAAAAAACATTCTACACTACATGTATACAGGAGCTGCTAATGCAGAGCGTTTTTACACGCTCGATCCTCTGCCTCGTTCCGCCGGCCGTTGGCGTTGGTGACACTAACCACGGTCACGAGATGTCGCAGTAAGGTAACGAGCACCACAACACTGTCGAGATCAATGAGAAAGAGAAAACACAGAAAACAACAAAAGAAGAATCAAAGTCAAGTGCATGTATGCGGCTTTTGCATGTGTTGCCACTGGCAACTTGTTCGGTGGAGAGGACGATTTCTTTTGCGATTTTTACTCAGTGTGCATGTACAGCCATGTAGTCAGGGATCTGTTCCTATGCGCGTCTAGTGCTACCGGTACTGTGTACTGGCTCTGTACTCAGTAATGCCGAGTACGAGTAATCATGGTAATTAATTATTTACCGGTATAAATGGCAGCTGACTATATTTTTGGAGAAACACTACTCACTAGTCCTGGAGTGTCATTGTAGTAAAAAGTAACAATGAATGGCGATAGCATCTAGGAAGGATCGCTACCCTAACGTGAAGGAAAGGCCTTGCGCGGCTGCTCTTCGAAGTGTTGCAGAAAGACTCAAAGTTAGTTGCTGGACGAACAACTCGCTGGGGCCGGAAAACTTGGCCCCAACGATGGAGTTTGGTGAATCATCAAGCATAATGTCTTGTAGCAGTGTTCACCGAGGAAGGAGAACGCTCTAGCCGCTGCTGTTGTCCGTTTCATCCACGTTGGGCGTGAGCTGCACCGCGCCTATTGTGTTTTAGTATTCCATGGACACACATTAGCATTCTGAGCGATTGTGGAGCCACAATTTACTTCACACGGCGTTGTATTGTCCACGAGCGCAAACTTCATTATCAGCAGTAACTGTTACTCTTCATCCTACATGTAGATTTGGAGTATACACGGCCTTGTCAGGACAGCGACAGCTCTACAGAGTGTTCAAGTGAGAAACATTATTTTCAATTGTTGGTGGACGAACAAATCGCTGGTTCCGAAAAACGCGGCCTGCATCGATGGTGTTTGGTGGATCATCAAACAGGGTGACCAGCAGTGTTCACCGAGGAAGGAGAACGCACTCGCCACCACTGTCGTCCGATTCATCCAAGTGGGCGTTAGCTGCGCTGCGCCTATTGTGTTTTAGTATTCCATGGATGCGCACTAGCGTTCTCAGCGATTGTGGAGCCTTGTCTTCATCATGCAGCGTTGCACTGTCCAAGAGCACAAACGTCAGCAGTGACCCAGCATCATACATGTAGATTTGGAGTATACACACCATGCGCCAATGGGCCTTGGCACAACAGCGGCAGCTCTACGGAGTGTTCAAGTGAGAAACATTTGTTTCGACTATTGGTGGACGAACAAATCGTCGGTGCCGAAATACGTGGCATGCGCCGATGGTGCTTGAAACATCAAGTCTGGTATATGGTGGCTGCCAATGTTCATCAAGGAAGGATAACACTCAGGCCGTCGCCCGTCATCCATTTCGTTAGCTGTACTAAGTCTATTGTGTTCTTGTACTCCATGGACACACAATCATGAAGCATGGCGTCTGAGCTGTGTTCACAGAGCGGGGAGATGCTCTCGCCGCTATCTTATCTGTCCTGTGTATTCCCAAGTGTCGAAGGCTCACAACGATGGCGTAGTACAAGTGAAATAAGATGGAATCAACGTAAGTACGCATGTGTACTCTTACTGACTGAAACATAAGTGGGGTGTAAGAGCTAATTCATATGGTGTTGTGACATTCACATGTACGAGTTTAGTGTGTAGTACTGTCTTGTTACGTACTGAGTTCTATGACTTTGTTTTGTCTCCATATACTGCATGCATTCACGTTACACACTTATCAGTTTGACCCTGAGTTCATGTCTGCTATCCCGTGTCTCCTCTGCTTCTTATTGTTTCCACATGGTTCACGGTGTAGCGCTGCACGTGTTCCGTCAGTTTGAACTTAAGCACAAATCGCAACTACTTGTACTTTCAGACATGCCACGTGATTCACGGTTGCCAGGGTTTGAGCCAATCA